GCTAAACAACAGAAATTGAGTTAACTACTGATGAGACGGAATTCATTTTTTAAAAGTAAAAACTGTTCTGACCTTAGCGGTTCATCTACAATAATTGGCGATTCCTGCACTTGTCGCGCCATTGTTTGGAACAACATCTTTACGTTGTAGCCGGTTCTTGCCGATGTTTCCATCACAGTTAGACCAGATCCAGCGTAAGAACTACGCGCTTCTTCAAGAAGTACCTAAAAGCTACTTTATGAACGTAGCGTAACGTTATGAATGCTGTATTGTAAACTCCCCGCGAAATTTATGAAATGTGAAACATTAAAAAACCCCTTTGATAAACTTTTTCGTCCCACCCTAATGGCGTTTTAAAAATTTACAGCTTTAAATAATTGGGAACTGAAAAAAACCAAAACGGAAATGGTCGCGTATCTGCCGTCATTTTAAGTGTTACGTAAATACTATTCGCTTCAATAACTAAAACCCCTCTTAGCGAAAAACCTCTTCCAAATTCAGCCAACCAAAGGTTATCATTTTCTGCAAAATTTCTCGAACGCTTGTTTCTCCGTAAATCATATTTTGACATCCTCTCTTGCTTAACGAACTCTATCTATTCCCTAGTCATTTTGTCATTACTTTTGTGTCAACAAAAGAACAGCATTCTGACACCAATTTTGATGAATTGCCTGAACTCATATTTATTCGTACAGCAACATTATTTAAAATGGCAGACGTCAAACAAAATATAGTGTTCGTACTTTGGGCTTCCTACCATTTTTGCAAGAGGTTTGTCCATGCAATCAAACCGGAAGGTCACAGTCTGTCGATGGTTAAATGGTCGGAAAAGATAACATTTGCATCAAGGTCGAGAAAAATCAGTAACTGTTTAACATTTTGAGAAGGTCTCGTTCAAAACTGATAACTTACCCGTGTGTGGAGCGTTTAAAGGCCAGTAGGTAGACTCAGTGAACCCGCCTTTAGCTGTACTACATAAATAGCATACCTTCTATAACTGAGACATATATACATGAGCCCTTGTACAAAATTTTGACTAAAAAAGCAAGCATTAGCAGATGTGAAAAATGATGTTTTCCGCCTCTTTTTCATTCATTTTTCATCTCGGAGACCAGAAAAACCAAAGTCTTGAAGAAAGGGCGTGCATGATTTTGTAGGGGAAAAGGTTCAAACTGCGTATAACAATATAAAAATTCGCAAAAATGTGTGAAAATAAGCATTGGAGAGATCAGGAAAAATCGTTAAGCAACCTAATAATTCGGGCACAACACTGATTCCCTAATCTCATCGTTCTTTGGAAATTCAAATAATAGATTTTTCTAACCCTAATAAATGGTTAATGAGGAATCAACCAAGGGAAATTGAAATTTAGCACCATGATGGTCTTGATGTATTTACATAAGAACCCAGTATTTGGAGCTTTTCAGCTATCTATCAAGAAAGATAGTATTTCGACTAAGGTTTTGAATGCTTGAGTTATTTTAAAAACGTAAAATTGAAGTCATATTATTCTTAAAAATACCCCGATTTCAATGTTAGCATCCTTGCTGATATTTTAGAAGCTAAAGAAAATTTGGCACAATCGTCGAATAATGAAATTTTTTTTGCGCATAAGCTTTGGACTCTGCAGAAAGCTCCCTGGTTCTATTAATATGCTTTGATGGAACTGCTTACGTCCAGAATGTACCTATTAACCTGATTACAGACGTATTTAATACCTGCGCCAACGATTCCATTGAGAATGTACTAACAAGGTGTTATTTTACAAATGCATCCATAATCCAATCAATTCATAGTGC